CTTTGGGAACTTCCACTGAGATTCATCACGATGGGCAGAGTGGAGATTGACAAAAACCATGGTGTCCTGCACGAGCCAAGACAAGTAGGTCATGTGGAAGAAAGCACTCATGGTCAGATGTGGCTCAGAATGCAACTGGCTGAGCTTTTAGAGTGTCAGCCTTACTAGGTAAACCAGACAGAAAACATGACCAGATGAGCTAATTCTACTTTACTGTAAAGCTGCATTAACAGAAACTTGCAAGTCTGAAGGGACAATTCTCCTGCTGTCTCCTTTAAAGTCCAAGCAACTAGGAAGGGTCCCTTCTAAGCCTCTTGTCCTGCCCACTATCTAGCTTTGGCCTAAGCTGTTTCTTATCTGACCATTCTCTAGCCAGCATTTCTTGGCCATTCTCCCAAAGTCTTTCCCATGTACCGAAACACAGATAGACTATATTGAGATGTGGTTGAAGACAGCAGATGAGGGTGAGAAGGAACAGGGAGGAGTTATGGATCAAGCAGAGCTGAACTCAGTATTAGGAAAAAGACGGGCAGGAACCAAGGTGGGAGATGTGGTCAGATACTCCACCATGAGCTATCATGCACTGTTCATAAGTAAGAATTGCTCAGATTTCAGAAGAAACTTTTTCTGCAAGGACTTTAGAGAACCCCGGGAACTATGCCAACTTACCAGAGCACACAACAGAAAAATTGGTCAATAAGCCTATTGCACTTTCATAAAAGGAGGTCCAGATGCAACTCCTCTTATTATTTGACTGTGACTTTGTCTTCCCTCCATATGAAAGAACAGGATTGACCCCAACTTCTTGCTTTCCCTTGCTCTTACACACACCTCAGGTCAGAAAGATACAGAGGGACACATGCAGATTCACCAACACTTCACTTCATGGGAGACAATTAAAGGCTTCTGCTGTTACCTTGGGAATTTTATATCCGAAAAGCTGTACATCCTTAATGGGTGCATGAGGTATTCCAAGTGGAACAACATTTGAAATGCGTTGGATTTCATGAATGACGGCATTTGTGTAGGGCAAGTTCTCTCTATCTTTATACTTCAGGCTTGCATTGCTTCCCAGAACAGTGTCTATTTCCTTCCAGCATTTCTCTGAGGAACCAAGAACTCAGTTACCTTCTGGAAAACATTTCACTGACTCCATGTAGACATGGTTGGTATACTTCCCAGTCAGGTGAGCACCAGAAGTGACGAGATAGCAGCTCACTGAATTCCCAGCCATGATAATCACTCCCCACTTCAGGACCCTTCCTCATTTGGCATAGTAAGTGAAGGTAATAATACTACTAGTCAAGAAGACTGTTTCATAATTCTTCACCTTGTATCTCTGGAAAGGCCATCAAATAGAGGAATCCCCAGAGAAGTATTCCTGCTGTTGTCTCTGTTCCAGTCGCAAATATCTGACACAGTAAGACTCGTAGTTGCTCTCTTTCAAAACCTGAACCTTTCTTCCCTGGCTATTGTAAGTTAAAACAAAAAATATTGTTAAAATGAACTAGAAAATGACCTTCTCCCACTCATGTATTCTTTTCAATAGAGTTGATAATTTTGATTTAAAAATGGGATTTCATGCTGAAAAATATGACTAAATGGGAAAAGGAAATAGGGAGGGGAGAAACCAGCATATCTTTCCAGTGATAACCCATCGTGATGCAAACAGTTCAGGGAGAGCATGAGGGTCCCCCAGAGGGTCCTGCAGAGCTGGCAAATGGGCCTTTCTTCCCAGCTCTCCCTCTGCTGCAACTGGATGGACAGATCTATGTTAGGTTTGCAGAACATGCACAGCAAGGGCACATAGCTGTGCTCACACATCATGTCTGACAGGCAAAAAGTGGACTTGGCAGAACATCTAGAAAAGTCACTGTATCAAAGTTTTGTCCTACTTTCACAAAGTGTAATGTCAGACAAACAGATTCAAGATGGGGGGGGGGAACCCAATGCAAAGTCAACAAGAGACTGAGAAGTCTACCTTCTGCATTTCTTCCAAATATGCATCAGTGAAATCCCGGGGTTCTCCAGGGACTAGGGTTGCCTTATGCTCTTCGATCTCTTTTTCAACAAAAGCATCTGTTTTCTTTGCAGTTGTTAGTATTCTCTGATGGGGCAGAGGAAGCCTCCTCACTAAGGGCACCACATTGTAAAGCTGCCAGCAAAGAGAAGAAAAGCTTGATTAATTTGACCATGATGGAGTTTCTTTGTAGGATATATTGAGCAGGAAAAAAATCCTTTGTATCGTAAAGGGTTCATGTAAATCTCTCTTATTCACAATTTGTTAGGGAATCAAATGTCCAAATAACAGAAAATTTCAATACAAAAATTTGCTCTAATTAAATCTGCAGCATTGCAGTCTTGAACCAAATCATTCATAAAGAGCCTTCACCCACTTTCCTGGCACTCTGATGAGATACTGTTCTAATTGCAAGGAAAATCTGAAAGTTTCCAAAATGTGTGAGACATGGAAATTCAAATTCTGACTAGGTGTGCATTAATTTGGAACATTCTTCTGGATTGTTGTTAAGAATACCAAGGCCCAGGGTCCCACTGACAGTTTGGAAGTTTGATCCATCACATCCAGCAGAGCTTTGATTAAGCTGTTGTCATATTCAAAACATTTCCCAAATATTATGGTAGAAATTATGTTGGCGACTGCAGTGTCCACAAGCTCACGAGGATCAAAAGGCACACCTGTGGAATAAAAGAAAAGAAAAGAGATCTCTATAGTTCCACCCTCCTGCATGTTCCTTTAGGAGAGTCACAAGATGCTCTCCCCTAAGCAGCTTTTCTGGTTGCAGAGGCATCATTGGAAGAACACAAAATAAGTCCACTGTAGATTCCCATTCTCTCAGCTCACCATGAAGTTTCTAGCAAAAGAGTCACCAAGGTCAAATGGTAACTGCCATGTTCAATCTTTTTCTAACAAATAAATCTTGCTGAAGTAAAAAAAACAAAGCAAAAAACAAACAAAGTACATCTAAAAGTGTTAGCCCTGTGAGGTAGTCCAGATAAGTAGCACAAGTGAGAATATGAGTTCTATCTTTATTGTCCAGTTATATTAACAGAATCTTGTAAGACTGAAAGTATTTCTCCCCTCCTTTGTTTTTACTAATAAAGATCTTTATTAAATTTCAACGAAGAGTAAAATATACAACTTTCTTTGGTACAGGCACAAATTTATAATATATTCACCTCTTCCTCTAATGTTTAAAATGATGCAAAATATGTCTAAAATGATTAAAAAGTATAAGAAAAACTAGTAGAAAGTATATGCAACCAGAGTCCTGAGCTTCTCCAACTCTTCTTCAATACACGCACTCAGTGGTCAATTTGGAGGTCAACTGAATTGCGTCCTCTGGAAAAAGAATCAGCATTGAAATGATGATTCCCCAGCCACCCCATCCTGTCCCAGGAGAGCTTACTCGTCTTTTCAGTGAATGCCTCAATCAAATAAGTTACTTCCTCCAAGATCTTTTCCTCCATTGATTTCTTGCCCACTCCAAAGCGTCTGAGAAGCATAAGTGAAAACCTTCTTTGCTCCTTCCAGACTTCACCGTATCTTATTGTCAATAAACCTAAAAAATCATACAACAGTCATTCACCTGTATCTTGTTTATATGTAACGACTGATTTATTGATTGATTGATTGATTTTTAAAACATAGGTGTACTTTCAAAAATGATAATATCAGTATATGAACAGAGGTTTACTATAGTTATAGAATTGATACTAGTAGTTGTTTTTATGGTATAGGAAAGAAGTATGATTTTTTTCAGCTGAATGACAAAGTCTCTACTATATTATTATTCATGAAACTTAAAAAAGAAAAAAATAAGAAGGGAGTAATTCTAACATTTCAAGAGATTATTCCTTCTCTTACTGGAAACTTTTGGTCAGCGCTGCAGATTGCAGAGGAAAAGGATATTGGAAGTTCGATAACAGAATGGATAACTTACGGTCTTACCAAGACCAAACAGGAATTCAGAAAAGAAAAGAAAAAGACCTTGAAATTACATTCAGTTACCTTTTTTGTTACTGAGGACATCCATTATAGGAAAGTCTGCCCTCCCAGCAAATTCTGTGCCTTTTATCA